CTTATTTCACTGTTAGTTCCCTCAATAAATCAGCGCTATAAACTGAAATAATGTATCGTAGGTATGAAGACCAAGATGGTGTGGCCTTATGTTTGGTGGCAGTCTCCTTTAGCTTTATAATGTTGGTTCGACCTTGCTTTGCTCAACTTGGTCGGAGCGTCAGGAATATCGCTAGTCCCATGTCCTTTGACAGAGTATTCATGATTACCGGTATCGGACCATTGACTTGCCACACTTCCACACGCCTCGCCGGCGACGTCGTTAGAACGGAGCTACAATTTATTAAAGAGACAAGTGAAGGCGATCTCCTTGACCAACTTTCTGTTCAACAGTTGGGGCATCACTCCTCGCCCCTGTTTCTCGTTCTTCCTTCTACTTTTGCATCTCCTTTGCTCAACCCCATTTCATATCGCCCATACACTTATTCACACATTTCCGTGTTCTCGTCTCCTCCAATGTCGCCTAAGAAAGACAAGATGGGTATGATTTTCATGATCCAAAGGATAAAATGAAAGCGGTGCATTCTTACGCCAGCAGTTACGATCTAAGCCGGACACATGACAACAAAGAACGAGACAAAATGGGGGTGGAGATGAGGGAGAGGATAATTGAGTCATGGGTTTGAAGCCTAGGGAGAAGAAGATACCCAGTCACTGAGCTGGGCATCATCTGCTCTAAATGCTCAAATATGACATAATCGAGGTGGGGAATTGTGGGCTTTTAGGCAGCCAGATTTCAGACAACCAAACAGCGATTTGAATGTTTAGCAACGGCCAATTGACAATTGGGTGGGAAAATAGGGGGGAGGCAGAATGTCGGTCACAAGCCCTGAAAACGGCTTTTGGTATTGGTGGTGGGGATGATTGCGCTTCGCTAAACCCACTTGTAGCAACACACTTTTCGGCGACATTGAAGGAAATGAGAACACAGAATTGTGTGAATAAGTGGGTATGACTGAAGTGGAGTTGAGAGAAAGAGATGTGGCACTAGAATTTGGAATAAAACTGAAAGTTGGCCTTCACTTGTCACTGATAAATGTAACTGTACTTACGATGGCGCCTCCCACTGAAGATGCTGGCGAAACATTTGGGAATGAACCCAGCCACTGCTGAAAATCACGAATATATTGCAGTTACGTCCCATAAAGTCGCGAAAACAGTGTCGAATCAACACAGAAATAATGTACTTTTTCTCCAACTAGCCTCTTGTATGACAGAGGTACTAACTCGGGTATAGAGTTGCTATGACGTTGTTGTCACAACTTGGCTTTTGGGAACAGAAATGTCTCTGTCACATAAACCAGGATAATTTTTAGCATATGCTCATCAACCTGCCAAAGTAGTTGACATAACTGCGATAAGTCGACTGTCGGATGCTGTAAATTATCATCATACTATTTCAGACGACGCAAAATTAAGCGATTTCTTCGAGGATTCACTGTAGATATTTTAAATGTGCGAAAACGAGAATAGG